AGCAGCAGCAGACTCTGAGTGTCTGTTCGTGCAGAATGTGTGTCTGTCCAAAAATAAGTCAAAGGGCAGGTTCCCAGTTCTGTCTAAGTCTAATAAGGGGTCTAGATTCAGACACCCAGTCCGAAATCCAGGCCAGATGGCCGCAGCAGCAGCATACTCTGAGGGGAAAATACTGGGACACACACATATGCATGGGTCTGGGACTGAAGGAGGCCCAAAGTGCCAATACAGACCAATGCAGACCTCGCCAGGGGAGGCCAGCAGTATAAAGCAATAGGCCAGCCTCCCTTGACATCAGATTCCCACTGGCAGTATTGCATGGAAGTGCTGCATGCACTTGTGCTCTGGCTGGCTGGGATAGCGCTGAAGGAAGAAGCTGTGCTGGGAAAGAAGGAGAAGACTGGGTGCTGGCTTGCAAGTGGCAGCCATAGCAGCCCTACTAGCTAGTATAGTTAGTGGGATAGGACTTAGTCTTCAGTGAGTAGCATTCAGAGTAGATTCTCGAAGTAGGAGTGAGCATGCATGATGAGAGAAGAGGACTGAGACTGAGATCTTGAGGAAGGGAAGAGAGAAGAAAGAGACAGGTTAACAAGCTGGCTATGGTTACTACTTACCTGTCCTGCGTTTGACGAATTGCTGAGAGGTGGCGCTGGCTTAGCCAGGCCCCATTGAGCTGTTGTTCGAGAGAGGGACATATCGTGATTGTTGAGGGCTTGGATTCATGAACTCGAGATACTCATTATAGTGTGTTTGAGATAATATAAGCTGTGCAACTTGGTTCTCATCTCATCCCCATTCTGCGTTGTGTGTGTTGAGTCATAATCTGTGTGAATGATGATGTTGCAAGCATTGTGATACACTCCAGCAGGTGGAGGACAGTCAGGTCCCTTGGACGTCAAGTTCAAGTTTCGTGGCAAAAATGCCTCTTCGGGTCCCCTGAGTTTCACAGCGAAAATACCATCCTTTTCACACTTTTTCAGCTAGTGGGACCCGGTGTAGATGCTTCCAAACAGGCATTTCTGCCACAAAACTTGAACCTGATGGTATATTTGCCACTAAACTCAGCCCCTTTCGCAAAAACACTATTTCTGCACTTAGCCCCATCGCAAAAATTGCTAAAAGAAACGGGAGAAATAGTATCGCAAGCAGTGCTGTAAACCCGGCAGGACCGGGGGGCCCTCCCCCAACTGGAACCGGACTGGTCCTACCAGCTGGTCGACCGGGCCGGTTCCCCCCCGGCTGGCCGTAGCGCATCATTTTTTTTTTTTTTTAAGTCCATGGTGTTCTAGAGGCCAAGGACTAGACATACAGTGATCGCGGGCAGCGGCAGCCAGTGGTTGTCCTGACAGGATCGGCCTCCTTTCCTACCCTTCCATGCCTTCCCCAAATGCTCCCAGCGCACCGCTTATCCCTACTATCCTACCTCAGTGTGACCAGCACACTCAGGACCATCACCCTACCAGTATCGAGGGCAACTTGGACCAGACAGCAGTGCCAAGCACCCCCTAACACTAACACCCCACACTCCTTTTCAAAGTTTTTTGGTGGGAAGTACCGTCCCTACCCTGCCACTGACAACCCCAAACCCCACGCCACCACTAACACCCTCACCATAAACCCCCAACCCCCAACCGCCAACCCCCAACG